CTCTCCCTCCGTCGTGTCGTTCGTGTCTGTCTGTCTGTCTCGTGTGTGTGTGTGTGTGTGTGTGTGTGTGTGTGTGTGTGTGTGTGTGTGTGTGTGTGTGTGTGTGCGCGTGTGCAGTCGTGTTGGCGTCTATGTTAACACATTCCAGGGCCTGGCAGGTCATCAGGAGAAGTTTCACAAGGAAATGGGAAAGGTGAGAAAAACTGTTCTCCTGTGTTTTATTAAATTAATAATCAATATTTATTTATGTTTTATGAACTGGTCTCCTCCTCTGTCTCCTCCTCTGTCTCCTCCACTGTCTCCTCCTCTGTCTCCTTCTCTGTCTCCTCCACTGTCTCCTCCTCAGCTCAACCAGAACCTGAACGACATCATGACCAAACTGGAGGAGCAGCGGGAGATAAAGTAAGTGGAGTTTTTAAATCAGATGTCACAGATCTAGTGTTCAGGATGACTGAGAGTAATGCTCCTCGCCTCACTGCAGAAAGGGAGGCAGGGAAGCGGGGACGACAGAAGAGAGTGCCAAGAGGTAACCCTGGACGAGCACGCAGCGCTTTGAACACGCAATAATGATCGTTTGCAGCACTAACCACTAAAACCCACCCTTTCCGAGGCTATGCATTTTAAATTCCATTTATTTGTGTATCAGGGAATTTGTCTGGAAAAATGAAGTGTGAGAAATTACATTTAAAGGACTACATCATATTATTAAGTCTCTTTTAAACGACTAGAATCAATCTGCAGTTATTATTAAGGGTTATTTTATAGACGGATGAATTCGAGCAGCAACAGCAGGTTTTCAAGGCATTGCACAATAAAACTAAATAAACTGTAAATATGTACATGTATACCTTAAAACAATAGAAAGATATATATCCATACAGAATTAAGTTAAAGTACTATATGCATAAATAAGTGTGCCGTTTTCTTAAACTCCAATTGAAATGCAACGAAGCACAGTGTGAGCTTTTCATCTAAAAGCCAATTGAAATGTTCTCTGGTTTGATGTCTTTGTGTAGTTTAAATACACCTACACAGTGTTCCTCCTCACCTCAAACACTAGCGTCACTGCTCTTCTTGTAAGACTTCAAACCAGCAGGTGTCGAAGGATGACGGATCAAATCCTTCTCTGGGATGTAAACCTGTCTGCTTCCAGTTCGTGCACGTGTTGCAGCCTGATGAGGATGTGCATTCATTCAAAGTCAAAGTCAGCTTCATTGTCAAAATGTCTCCATGTGTTATTCATACAGAAATCTCGATATATCGTTTCCCGCAGTCCCAGTGTGACATATGAACATCAAACAAGATACAAAAAGTGTTAGGGTGAGTGAAACAGGCAGGACCCAAATGCAGATTGAAACGAGAAAATGACTTTATTTCAAGGTTTAACGCAGACAAACAGAACACTACCCCGTGAACACAGTCACAGATAAACAAGAAACCAACAAAGACAGACAGCAAAACAGAACTTAAATACACACAAGACTAATCAACGAAACAAGAGACAGGTGAGGAGGCAGGAGAAAACACAGGGGCACCAGGTGAACACAATCAAGTAAACAGGTAGGAGGGAACAGGTAGGAGGGAACAGGTAGGAGGACACACACAGACAGGAAACCAAGGACAGATCTAATCAAGAAAAAACACAACGCAGACAGATCGTGACAAAAAGGGCCTAGATAAACGGGGTATACAACTAAGCAATAGTATTAATAAGTGCTGGTTAATAATATATTTAAAAACACAATCCACAGAACATGAATTTGACATTAATGCAAGTATTTTTTGTCCAAAATAGAAAAAAGTTCAAAGTACAGTTTCAGTGCAGTATCAGCTGAGATGGGCAGAAAAGTGACTGGTGCTGGATGAGGGAAGGTTGTATGTGTGTGTGTGTGTGT